CCTCATTCCCCTCTCTTCTCACCATTGCTCTGGAGAAGTAGCTCCACCGATACTTGACCCTCACTTCCTCCTTCCTGAATCTCCATTTCTCCCATTCTGTTCTATGCACTTACTCTAAACACAGCCCTAACTCTTCCATCACCTGTGTTATACTCTGCTGTACTTCCATCTCTTGCCTTCTGTCTTCCCTTTTGTCTCATTCAGTCTTTTGTGCCCAGTGATGGGTAATCACCACATCCAACAGTGATTCTCACCATGCACTTACTCAAGCTCTCTGAATCAGGTGAGGCTGTAAGTCAGATGGCCTGGCCAGCTTCTAATACAGGGTGGTCCTGGCATGTTTTGTAACCCTTCTGATCCTCAGTTTCTTCCTTTTCAGAATAGGATGTAAACTCTATCTCATAGGTCTTAAAATCTAAAGGAGTTGACATTGGTTGGCACATAGGGATGCTCAAAGAAAGTAGTTACAATTGCCACTGCTCCTCTTGTTAACCATCACTGATTTTCTCCTGAACCCAATATTTGTGGCTGTCCAACACTCATAGGCTGAAACTTCACCTCATTTGGAGATGGGTCTTTGGGAATTGAGTAGGTCATGAAGGTAGAATCAGTGCCTTACAAAAGAGATATCAGGACTTCCTTGCCCTTCTGCAATGTGAGAACACAGGTTGAAGACAATGTCTGTGAACCAGGAAGTGGGTTCATACTAGACCCCAATCTGCTGGAACATTGATCATGATTTTCCAGCCTCCAGAACTGTGAGAAATAAATGTTTGCTTTTAAAGCTGCCTCAGTCTGTGATGTTTCTGTTATGGCAGCACAAACAGAACAGAAACACAGCACCCATCAGATGAGGTTTCCATATGTATTCTATCATACTGACCATTTTTTCTCAGCTTCCACCTGGAAAGTTCGGTGTTTCCACAAATTCCTTCTTATTGATCTTCCTTTTTAAGTTTGCATTAGTCACTGAAGAGCTCAACTTCATCTGCATGCCAACAATCTTCAAGTTTCAACCTGTAGTTCTGACTCCTCTTCAGCACCAACATCTCCATGAAAGCACCCAGGACTCACAGGCATTCAAAACCCACTCTTCACCCTCCCTCAGGCTGCCTGTATTTTTCATCCTAACAAATGAAATTCACTCAGCCGCACTGTCCAAGTCAGAAACATGGCCTTCGCTCTTCATTTCCCAAGAGATGAAGAGTGTCCTGCCCAGATTCCACAGCAGGCCACCTGCACCACTGCCAGGGTACAGTGTGCTGGTGGTCTCCACTGTCCACTCCTTTAGGGGCTCAGGCAGAGACCACTTGGCTGGAGGCCCTGATCCTGGGACAGCTGAGCAAGTGAGGAGTGGAATGAGGGAGCAAGGGGGTCTATAGGCCCAAGGGGTTACAGGGGACTCCCCACCAGGCTGGGGCATGTGTAGCTTCATATAGCCCCATTTCTTTTTATGTCCCACCCTGTGGCCTCCTCCAACCTTCCATGGAGAATGGTTCTTAAAAAAACATCTTGCACACTAAACTCTATCTCAGCTCTGTCTCTAGACAAGCCAGCCTTCCCACTTTCCCTCACCCATCCTTGTCATCAGATCATTTTACCATCTCACTGTATCTTGAACCCATCCCCTCCTTTCCATTCCTCTGCTCTTGCCTTCTTTCAAGATCTCATCATTTTTTACTTGTACTGTTAACCACTACCCCCTGAATTCCCCACAGCTGTCCCATATCACCATCAAGATATTCAGCCTAAAATGCAAACCTGACAGCATCACATTCTCAAGCCCCTGCAGGTCTTCCTGTGCATCTCAACGGAGTTAGGCATCATTCTTGGACTTTTCCTGGCCAGTCTTTTAGTGGCTTGGCCTCACAACATTTCCTCTAAACCAACAATCTATGAGAGATTTGGGGAAACACTGAGCCTTGAGCGATTCCCAACATAGCATCTCCTCCTGAGGTTCCCCCTCCTTGGCCTGGAAGATACTAGCAATTCCTCAAAACTCTGCTGAAGTCACCGCTGACATCTTCAGGCTAAGCTCAGCACTCTCACCTCTGGATAGTTTTTGTATTGCAATACACATTAAAACATTCACATAGCATTGTAATGCCAATTTTAGATTTTCTGCTTGTCTTGCTAGAATGAAACCTTCTAGGAGGAAAAGCACCTTCCCCAGGACTCAGCTCATGGCTCATCCACAGGCATGCTCTAGAAGCAGGAAAAGGCCAGGTGGGGGGGATTCTCCAGAAGTATGTAGCCCTACCTACCCCTGAACTTTATCTCCTGTGACCCATGTTGTACCTCTGACCTAGAGCACTGGGAGGTAATACGTTTGTGTCATTTTAAACACTGACTTTGTGGTTAAGATAGTGATAGAAAACCAATACACTTTTAAATTAATAGATTTAAAAAGAAAAACTGCAGTAGTCTGGAAAGCCCACTGTAAATGGCCTAGGCTTCCTGGCTTTCTTGATCTCAAGGCTGACTTTATAATGGTTTCCTTTTTTCTGTTTTCTTTGTGTTGCCAGACTATGAAAATGTCACTATCATCCATCTCTGCATTGTCACAGGCTGATAAACCAGATACTCGGGCTTTAGGGATAGTGTCTAAAATAAGCACGACTGTCCTGGGAGAGGGGTGTGGGCCCCTGGGCTGGGTTGTCAGCTACTATTTTGGTGTTGAGCTGCCTTTGGGGTTTCTTTCTGCTTTTCTTCAATGCTGCAAATTGCTGATACCATCTTCTTGATAAGAGAAGTTTCACTGAACTATATTGTACTATTAATCATCTGATTTGATTATATATCTTCTTACATGTAGTAAATTTATATTGCTATTTATATTTAAAAATGGCCAATTATTTCCATTTGCCTCATTCCAATAAAATAAATCTCCTGTTGGTTAAAGGGTTAATGATGTAGCTTTGGATTTTTTTTCTTCTTGGAGACTCAGACGTGCAGGCATGTTCTATATTCCTTTCACAAAAAGAATCCAGGGCGAGGTGCCTAGGTTTTGAATGTGCCTTCACTGTACATTCATAATGAATGCTGAACCAAATGATATATTCATGGTTGCTCTCTGATGGAAATGAATGGTTGAATGAAAGTCTGGGGGCACAATTCACTTCTAGGAGGGCAGTCCTGTTCACACCCGTGTCTGACCCGTGATTTTTTATTTTCGTCGAAAAGCTAGTTTTTTCTCTCTTCAAATCGCAGTCCCTTTCTCCCTGCATCTTTGTAATCAGACTGGCTTTCTTCTTTTTCTTCTTCTTCACCCTCCTCACCCCACGGCTGTTGGATGAAAGATCCCGCCTTTGATTGAAATGGAACCTTCCACTATTGAGCAAGCCTTTGTTGAATGAGTCATCGCTGCGGCTGCTCATTGGCTGTGGCCACTGGAACCAGGGGATTGCCTGGCGCTGGCTGCAAGGCCCTGTTTCATTCACAGAAACGCTGGCTGCTTCGCTAGCCCTTTCATTCACACAAACAGCATTTCATTCATATTTTGCTGTTTTTGTCTGAAGATCCCAGTTTGGAAATGTTAGGGCATTTTCACTTTAGATTTCAGGCTTTGATAGCCATCCCAATCATCTACGGAGTGTGCACTTGCTGTTGCTATGCAAGCGAGGGGAAGGGAAAAGATGAGAGCAGGGAGGCTGCCCTCCTGGGCCTGCGCCTTGGGCTGGTAGCGGCTGTTCCCCTGTGATCTTGCATCCAGCAGCTGGCCCTCTCTGAGTGACACTGATTACAGCTGCTCCACACACCTCTTCAAGGCTTGGTGCCTCATGTGTCACATGTCTAGTCGTGGGTGTCAGAAGACTCAGGGTGACCTAATAATGAGTTAGAGGTAAATTCATTTGCTTGCACGGAGGTAGCTGGAAACTTGGACAGAGAGCAAGTTTTTGTGTAGGCCAGCTATCTCAGTGCATGATGAAGACGGTAGATAGCCCATGGTGACAAAGGTCGTGGGTCTGGGCCTTTCAGACCTTCTGAGGGCCGCCAATGCCCTGTTCTGGAAGGAAGGAGTTCTCTGGCAGCCCGTTTGACTCCTGAAAAGAAAGCATTTTTTTTTCCTGCGGATTTGATGTGTAATGAGAGCAGCTGCATTCCCCCCACCCTCTTCACTGTAGGTCTGCAAGAAGTAACTGAAGGGACATTGACAGGTTTTTGTAACGTTTCTTAGGCATTTTTTCAGAGCTTGAACACATTCAGTTGGAATAAAGCTTCAAGCACAGCCCCTGTTTTGGAATGGATTTCTGGATCCTGTTGCCATTCTTCTTTCTTTTTTGGAAGTAGGTTTTCAACTTACCCCTGGCTAAGAAAGACTGCTGTAAATTATCAGGGGGAGACCCTAACTGGCTCTGTGCAGAAATCCACATATAGGGTTTGTTTGGGGTTTTTTTGAGAAACTGCATTGCCACAAAGACACTTGTCATGGCTGCTTTGTTGATTCGAAAAAAAAAAAAAAAAGAAAAACCTAGGAAACTGGTATTTTATGTTCACCTGGGAGTGAATATTCCCTCCTCCTCCCCTCCTCCTCTCCTCCTTTCTTTCTTTTTTCTTTCCTTCTTTTCTTCTTTTTTTTTTTCTATTTAACAATCCCTCTTTGCTTTCCAAATCAGAATTCATGAGGATCCATTGGAGGTCTTATTTTTAAAAAGCCTTCGTCACATTTTAATGCATTGTTGTCAGATACTTACAGGCTCACACAGATGGGCTGAGGAGGAAGAGAAAACCCTAGCATAGAATAATGGGTTTCAGAAAGTTCCTCTGATCATCTGAAGAAATTGGATTTCTCTGGCGCAGGAGGTGAAAAAGCAAAGGTTGGGAGGAAATATCTGGGAAGGCAGAAAAAAAAAGAAATTTGAGAATTGATTGGCTCTAGTGTGCTGTTAGTGGGTGTATGGTGTATGTGGTTTTGTACCCCCCCTTTTTGCTACAGGAAGTGATTTGCAGCGCTCACCGAGCCTTTGTTGAGAAGGGTCTCCTCTCAGAGTGAGTCATGCTTTTGCTGTGAGCAGCCCTAAGCAGCGGCTGGGCGCTCAGCAGAGGTAACTATGACTTTTGCTAAGCAAGCCTGCCGTCCTCGGCAGCCGCTTCCGCGGCCCCGACTGCGCGGCCACAGCAGCTCCGGGTGTTAGCGGTGGGAGACTGGCACCCCCGCCCGCTCCCCCAGCCTGGTGGCCGCTGTCTGGGCCGCTGAATCTGCCCCGGGGACCCCGGCTCGCCTGCTATGCACAGCATCCTGTTCCCGCGCCCTCACCTGCAGCTCCCGGGTGGATGCGGCGAGCCCACGGAGGGGCATGCTTCCACGCACCAAGTACAACCGCTTCAGGAATGACTCGGTGACATCGGTTGATGACCTTCTGCACAACCTGTCCGTGAACCGCGGCGGCAAGGTCTCCGCGGCGCGCGCAGCCCCTGCGGCGGCCCCTTACCTGGTGTCCGGAGACACGCTGCGCAAGGCTCCCGACGATGGCTCGGGCAGCCTGGGTCACCTGCTCCACAAGGTGTCCCACCTAAAACTCTCCAGCTCGGGTCTCCGCGGCCTGTCCGTGGCCAAGGAGCGGGCAGGCACACGGCTCTCCGGCAGCTGCAGCGCACCCAGCCTGGCCGCCCAGGACAGCAGTGCGCCCCCCGGTCCCGGTGCACCGGCCATGCGCGCTGCCAGGAAGGGCCGGCTGGGTGAGGAGCAACCATCCCGCACAGGCCCCGCCAGCGACCAGGTGCTGGGGGCCGGGGTCACCTACGTTGTCAAGGTGGGTGCGACCCCAGGCAGCGGGGTGGGGAAGCTTGGGTGCAGGCTCGCCTGCTATGGGTGGGTCGCTCTACAGGCCAGGAGGTGCGCTCCCCTTTGCAGCCACCTCGCCTGGCAGCGGGGATAGGGCACCACAAAGGCGACCTTTGCGAATCTGTTGAGAGAAGGTTTAAAAACGGTGATCTCACTCTGTCCTGGTTTCCTTTGGCCCCATTTCTTTGGCATGTCTTCGCCGCCTTGCTTTGGCATGTGTTTGGCCAGTGCCTGTCTGGCATTGGCCCCTATACCTGCCAACTGTGCATCAGGCCTACCTAGGACACAGTGAACATACTTGCAAGAACTGGACAGCCCCTGTGATGCAAAATGCAGGTGGTGCCACTACTTCTGCTGTGTTTGCCCCAGACAGCAGGGTGGGTGGTTTCATTTCCCCACAGCAAGAATTTCCAGCTCCTGGTCGTCGCAGGACACATGCTATCTTGTTTTATGTAAGACAGACTGTACTTTCTTAGGAAGCAAGGTTTTCTCCTCCCCCTCCCCCATTTTAAAAATTATTGTTCAAGTACAGTTGTCCCCATTTCCCCCCCACCTATCATCCCCTCCAGCCATCCCCACTTCCCACCCTTGATCCTACCCCCCTTTGGTTTTGTGCATGTTTTCTTTATATATGTTCCTGAAAACCCTTCTTTGGTGTCTGCCTTTCATTCCATACCTAAAGGTTTTGATTTACAGCAGCAGGAGGAGAATTTGGGACAGGCCCTCCACCCTCAGTCTCCTAGTTAAACAAATGAAGAGGGCTGAGCTGGTGGCATCTGGAGTCTCTTTCCAGAGAAAGGGGATTTTTCTTCCAACACAAAGAATTATAAAATTATGCCTGATGTGCTCTATAAAATTCCTCCCTTATGCAAATATTTTGTGATATTTAAGTAACATATACCGAGAACCACTAAGGGCCCTGCTCCATTCTTCTGTCCTGCCTTCAGGAACCAGGAGGCTATCATGGTGTTGGCAGGGCAGATCTCCTCCAGACCAGGGAGATGGGTTAGAGATGCATTATTTCAGTCTGGTCACTCCAAGGCATGACTTTTTATTTAAAAAGAAATGAGACACAAATCTATTGTCAATTGAGAAAACTGCAGGACACCTGCTCTGTACATACTGACTATAGACCCAGTTGAAAAATTCACCAGATCACATCCTCAGGTAAAATGTTCTACCTTGGTAATTTTGGAACCAAAATAATAAAAGAAACAGTTCTTGTGGATTATCTTTAACTATCTAAAAAGTACAGACAAAAGAATGTGATCATCAGTGTTAAAAATGGGGCTCAAAGCCTGCTTTTTAATTTATCTTTGTCTTATCTTGTAATTTGATTAATATAGTTTACAGAAGTGATGTAGATCAGCACAAAATAGGTACATCTAGTTAAAATTGTTATAAAATGAAATTAATATTCTTCTTTAAAATATATAACCAAGAGCCAAAAACAAACAAGCAAACAAACAAACAAACAAAGCCAAACAAAAAACCCTGACAACTTTGAGGTTAAGCAGTGGTACCAGAATACATCACGTCTAGTGTGTTAGTATAATTGCTATCTCAAAAAAAAAGACTATTTAAAATAGATAAATCAACTTGGTGAAGCTTTCAATACCTGCCATGATAAACTAAGAGGGTAGTTTTCAAATGGATGGAAACTTCTTAAACTTTTGCCTTTAAAGTTTTCATTAAAAAAAAATCATTCAGCTTGGCTGAAGTGCTTTGCTATTGCTTTATGAAGACTGAAGGCAGACATCCAGTTCTAAAGGTCAGTTGTGGCTGAGTAATAATGAATCACTGAAACACAGATTTTAGTGATTGGACCCTGCTGGTCCATTGTTGGTGTAAGGTTGTTACGTGCCAGCAGCAGCTACTTAAATAGTCGAAAAGCTGGGTCTGCATAGAGCCTTCTGTGGCTTAGGGTCACTTTGTTGTGACTCATTTAAAAGATTGCAGTGACCTGTGGTGCGTAGCTTGGCTAGATTGTGCCCTGTGCAGTCACCTGGTCCCTCAGTGATGAACAGTGAAGTCATGTGAATGTAAGCTCAGGTTGCCCTGGAGAAGTTTGAAATTATACAGTGAAGACCAGATGCTAAAGGACAAATTCTCATGCACGTGTTTGATTTACATGATCATGTGGCCCTCTGTTGGTGTACATTTCCACATTGCCCATGTTGAGTTTAAAACCATGAACATATTTTCTTGAATAATCACAAAACTGAAAAGTCTTAATTTGGTCCTTTTGCTGATTTGTAAATAGTTTTTGTAAAGGGCCATCTTTTAATATCACTGTACATCAGTTGTAAAATCTAAATGCTTAAGGTTAGGGAAAGAGCTTATTATTATTATTCTCTTTGATTTAAATTTATTTTTAAGTTAAGGAAACCACCAAATGGTTTTCAGTTTTCTGGAAAATGCATGTGTTATGTAAGTATAGATTTCACTCCTCATAGAAATATCTGCCTACAGACAATATTAGGATATTAAACAGATTTATTATTCAAAAACATTTCAACTCAATTCAATGACATGAAAATGGAAACTATAATATGGAAGTCTGGTGGGTTTTGATCTTTTAGCAACATCATGCTCTTTTAACAGCAAGTTGTAATTTAAATTAATGAGGGATATACAGTTTTAAAATGGATGCAATTCCTGAGCAGCAGGAGAATTCAAAGTTCAGAGCATGTTTGCTGTCTTTCATGCCATCACTTGAGTCTGTGGCTGATAACAGTGTTAGGTTATGCATATGAAGAAGGCTGGACACACACAGCCTCCAGGTTTGTATTGATGTTGAGGGCCTCATTGTAATACCTCTGTACCCCTTCACCACAACTGACATTTGACTTTTTTTTTTTGGTGACATGGAAGGGAAAGAACAAGAAAATATGTTCTTGGTAGACTTAGAAGGAAAATCCAGCAACAAAGAACAGTGAATATTTCTATTACGATTCCATGTTGGAACTATTTTAAATTTGGAACTGAAAGGCTGATAGAAGTATTGACCATGCTGCTGCCCACCTTCAAATCTATTGCCTGAGAATCCAAGCTAGCTAGGACCCTAAGGGCTTGTGGGGGCTGTTGCTGGTCTTTGGCAGGTTTCTTTCTTTTCTTTTTCCCTCTTTATCGAATTTATTGGGTGGCACTGGTTAAGAAAATTATACAGATTTCAGGTGCACAATTTTTTCTGTGTGGTCTTTGGCATGTTTCAAAGGCAATATTCATTTCCAACACCTCCCCCCTCCCTGCTCACTACACACCACATATGCCACATACAGACCACACAAACACATCCACAGGTCCACAGAGCAAGCAGTTTAGGGAATAGAGATAGATGTGAACAGTTAGGGAGGGGGTGAGTTTTTAAGGATGGCCATAGGCATAGGCAAAAAGCTGTCTAAAGACTGGCATGGTTTGAGGTTCAGCCTTGACACTGCCTCATGGAACAGTGTGGGCTGCATGTGGGTAAGCCATTAGTTCTGGGGGTCCCCAAGAGAAGGGCTCCTCTTTACATCATATTACATTACATCACAGACTCAAGACAAGATAAGAACTGGCCACACTTAAGTCTGACCTGAGTGCCTGTGGCAGGAATCCAGAAGCCCAAGTGAAAAAGCAGTGCCTTCTGGTGCTCACTGTGCACTGTTAACATGTGGTGAGACCGTCAGTTATGCCCAGAAACACTGGTTATGGCACTTCAGATTCACAATCAAAGAACTACTGAATTATTTCCGGGTGTACTGGATTGTTTTTATCTGGGAACAAAGGCCTTGTTTTTATAGAAACTCTTTAAAATTTATTTATTTTTCTTCATTTGTCAATCTGATGATATTTAGGGTGGTATAAATTATTCATTTATTTATAAATGTATAAACTGCACTTACTCGAAAATTTATTCCTAATTGGTATTTTTATAGACACTTGCTTCACTGTCCATAAAAATGTCTTAAGTCTTCTTTTTCTTAGCATACATTCCTTTTGTAATTGCAAGCAGAGGTCATGCTGAACAAAGGTCATCAGCAAAGTTATTTCAAAGTTTTATGGTGGCAGTGATTACATTTTGTTTTAATTTTATACTAAAAAAATATTCCTTGAAGTAGAACTTTGAGTTGATTTTTTTTCTTAAAATTATTGAAAACTCTCATAATATGGATGGCTGACATGTAAATATTATCCAAATGATTTGAAAAACAATTTAAGACATTATTTTGAGATTAATAGACAGAATTGTTAAATTGATCTGGAAAGATCACTCACATACCACACATACACACCATCATACCACATCACACTATATATACACACCACCCATATCATACACACAACACATAAACATATATATATACACATAGCACATACCCAGAACACATATAACACAGATGTATACACATACACACACCACACATGATGCACAACATAAAAACACACCCCACACAAACATATACACGTTCACATACCAAATACACACTGCACACCACATACACATGCACATCATAACACACTACGCATACACACCACACTTCCTACAACCCTACACTCCCCCCTCACACACCACACATACACACCACACACTCAAGTAGACAACTTGTGATGATGGAACAGTGGCTATTTTTTTCTTGTTAGAAAATAGTAAATGCCATAGTACCAGAAACACCTGCTTATGTTATTTATTTATTTCATATTCATGTTTAAGAGAAAATAATTCTAAAAGATAAACTACTGCTGAAACATTAATCCTATAAAGAATAACTTCTTTTTCTTCTCCCCCTCTCTCTTTGAGCACATGTTTTATATATATATATATATGCATATTTATATACATATATATATATATATACACACACACACATATACATATATATATGTGTATATATATATTTTAAAGTCAGGAAGGATGGTCTCATACTTTCTTTTTTTTTAAGATTTCATTTATTTATTTTTTTCTAGAGAGAGGAAAAGAGAGGG